GAGGCTCAGAGAGGTTGAGACGCTTGCCCAAAGTCACACAGCTAGTCACAATCGATGTCCTGAAGGCCCAGGTGCTTCCTTGCCCTTTATCCCATAGACTCAGGGGGTCCAGCTCTCTCCCTGAGAACTGGTAGGCATTGGATTCTGACTCCCAATCTGGTATTTCTCCTCACAGGGGCCCCTGGCATCAGGACAGGCATCCAAGGCCTTAAAGGAGACCAGGGGGAACCTGGGCCCTCTGGAAACCCCGGCAAGGTGGGCTACCCAGGGCCCAGTGGCCCCCTCGGGGACCGTGGCATCCCAGGAATTAAAGGTATCAAGGGCAACCCAGGAAACATCAAGGACCAGCCGCGGCCAGCCTTCTCGGCCATTCGGCGGAACCCACCGATGGGGGGCAATGTGGTCATCTTCGACACGGTCATCACCAACCAGGAAGAGCCGTACCAGAACCACTCAGGCCGATTCGTCTGTACTGTACCCGGCTACTACTACTTCACCTTCCAGGTGGTGTCTGAGCGGGAAATCTGCCTGTCCATTGTCTCCTCCTCAAGGGGCCAGGTCAGACGCTCCCTGGGCTTCTGTGACACCACCAACAAGGGGCTCTTCCAGGTGGTGTCAGGGGGCATGGTGCTTCAGCTGCAGCGGGGTGACCAGGTCTGGGTTGAAAAAGACCCCAGAAAGGGTAACATTTACCATGGTCTTGAGGCTGACAGCGTCTTCAGCGGCTTCCTCATCTTCCCGTCCACCTGAGCCCGGGAAGGACGCCTCCCCCACCCACCTCTCTGGCTTCCATGCTCTGCTTTGTAAAATGGGGGCGCTGTTGTTTCAGCTGCTGAAGGGAGGGGGCTGGCTCCGAGAGCCCCAGGACTGGCTGCCCCCGTGACACAATGCTCTAAGACAGTTCGTTTCTTAGAACTCTTCCTGGAATAAACATCTGTGTCTGTGTCTGCCGAACTTGAGCTTCAGTTGCTACTTGGGGCATTGAGAGGGAGGCCTAAGAATGGTAACGATCCAGTGCTTAAGAAGCAGGCCTGTCATTATTATTATTATTATTATTATTATTATTATTTGAGATGGAGTTTCGCTCTTGTCACCCAGGCTGGAGTGCAATGGCATGATCTTTGGTCACTGCAACCTCCGCCTCCCTGGTTCAAGCGACTCTCCTGCCCCAGCCTCCCAAGTAACTGGGATTACAGGCACCTGCCACCATGCCCGGTGAATTTTCTGTATTTTTAGTAGAGAAGGGGTTTCACCATGTTGGCCAGGCTGGTCTCGAACTCCTGACCTCAAGTGATCTGCCAGCCTCGGCCTCCCAAAGTGCTAGGATTAGAGGTGTGTGCCACCACGCCCAGCCCATTCTTAGTATTTCACACAATGTGTTTAGCAGGTCCTAGCAGCCTCATCTACCCAGGTTTGAACCCTGATGCCACCACTTATTAGATGTCTAATCATGTGCATGTTAACAAGCTCTGAAATCTCAGTTTCCTTATCTGAGGAAAGTGGGACTGATGATAGCGCCTACCTCAAAGGGTCATTGGGAGGATTAAATAACTTAATACATGAAAATTGTAGAGCAGTGCTCGGTTTATAATAAGGACTATGGAAGTTTTGCTATTATTATATTTTATTTAATCTTTATGATCAAGCTCTGGGTATGGTATGATGGCCCTACATTACAGATGATGAAACTGAGGCTGCAAGGAGTAGGCATCCATCAGCAAATCAGCATCTAAGGGGAGGATCTGGGGGCCAGTCACGATGGCTCACGCCTATAATCCCAACACTTTGGGAGGCCAAGGCAGGCAGATCACTGGAGGTCAGGAGTTCAAGACCAGGCTGGCCAACATGTAGTGAAACCCCGTCTCTACTAAAAATACAAAGATTAGCTGGGCGTGGTGGCACACACCTGTAGTGGCACAGCTACTTGGGAAGCTGAGGCAGGAGAATCGCTTGAATCAGGGAGGCAGAAGTTACAGTGATCTGAGATCGTGCCACTGCACTCCAGCCTGGGTGACAGAGCAAGACTCCATCTCTCAAAAAAAAAAAAAAAAAGGTTGGGGGGTGGGAAGGAGCTGAGATTTGAACCCAAGTCTTACTGATGCGCAAGCCTGTGTTTAACCACTACCCTCACCAGCCTCCCCGGCTTCTATGAAGCACTTGACGCATCACACAGGTGCTTTTCCAACCCTGTATTGGGAAGGCAGGGGCAGGAATCAGAAAGGGGAAGCAATTGGCCCAAGGGCACTCAGCAGTGCTTCCTGAAGCTAGGTTTCCTGAGTCCAGCCCTGGGCTTCCACCTGGCAGGTGTGGAGACTGGGGCTGCTGCCTCTGCTGCCTGCTGGACATTCCGCCTGGGCTGGGGGCTGGGAGAGTCTTAAATGCTCACAGTGCATTCCAGGCCCCTACTTGTCTCTCTGGAAGCTACTACAAAGCAGCAAATCCCATCCTGTCCCTCGAACGAGGGAGAAATAAGGAGGCCAGGAGTTCAGATCTGAAAATGTCCAATGCCCTATGCAGTTTCTCAAAGGAAGCTCGGTTTATCTTTGTGCTGCACACACACATACACACACACACCAGTTACGCCTTCACACCCACAGACACACTCAGGGAGGCATGAGCCATCATAGCACACAGCCCCTGCCTCAGACATACAAGTAACATCCATGAACTATCTCATGTTCTCTCTGTCTTCCGCAGGTGTCCCAGACACACTCCTGACACCCAGGCACACACATCCTCCTCACTCCAGTGTGCATGAGCTTCAGAACGCCTGCGTTCTTTCCCACACGGACCTCCCTACACACACGCTCAAACTCTCACAGGGCCAGCCTCATAAATACAGGGCTGTCCCTCCCATCCACCACTTGACACACAAATGGCCTCGCGGTCCTCGAGTGCACAACCTGAGTATCCACCTCTAAAATACAAGACCTTCTCCTGGGACTGTCCCTGCTCTGCCAACAGCCTTTGGGGGTCAGGAAGAAGTGAGGAGGGCCCAGGGAGAGGGCGAACCCTCCATCCACAGCCTCAGGGTAGCCCCTCAGCTCCTGTCCGGAGTCGGCTCGGCCCTGCTCTCCCCCCGCCTCGCCCACTCAGAACACACACTGTTTAACTAGTGCCAGGAAAAGAGACAGGTCTTCAGGCACCTATGTGCTGGGCATTGCACGGCCATTGATGTATTTAATCCCAGCAAAATCGAGGTGGACACTGAGGCTCAGAGACAGCGGACATCCACCCAAGGACACACAGCCAGAAAGGGGAAGGGCCCTGGGGCTGAACCACGGCTGCCTGACCCCACAGGGTTAGGGCATGCAAAGAAAATGCCAGGGGTGGAGGCCCCATCAGCGGCAGTAGAGGCCAAACTAGATAAATGGGATGTGCAGGGAGTGCCCGGCCACCCCCTTACCCTAAGTCCTACCCATACCCCACCATCCACCCACTACACCGATGCAAAATCTCTGGCCCCTCCAGGAGGGGAATGAACTGGAGCAGCCCAGAGCGGAGCCAAGTGGGCGGGGCACGGGAGGGCCGAGTGTGGGCCGAGGCTGCCACCTGCTGGACAAGCCAGACCCAGGCGCAGAGGAGGTGAAGAGGGAAGACAGGCGCCCAGTGCCGTCAGGCTGGGTGGCCCCCAGCCCCTTAATGCATGTGTCCATCACATGCATTATTATTCTCATCCCAGGCTTCCACCCACCAGGGACTCCTAAGGCCAAGTGCGTTCATGTCCCTTAACTCACCCCACACTCTCTGCAGCCCCACAGCACAGGGTGGAGACACAGAAGGGGAGACTGAGACCTTGAGGGTTCCTCAGCGAGGCAGGGGCAGAGCTCTGAAGACCTGCCCATGCCTGGCATGGGACAAGGCATCGCACGTGTGTTGTGCACCGAATCCCAACCACTGGCCTGGAGCTGTCAGAAGCCCCCATGTTACGGAGGGGGAACCAATGGACACAGGTGGCAGGTATGGGGTGGAGGCTGAAGCCCTGCTACTGCCTGACAGCCCCTTCATCCCTAGAATCTCACGTGAGGAGAAGAGGGAGAGGGGAGAGGGCCTCTCACCTCTGCTGTCCTGGTCCTGATGGGGAGCCCCTCACCAGCCATGGTGGGCTCCAAGCCCAGAGGCAGGGCATGCCAAGGATGCAGGCGAGGAGGGTGGTGCTAGCAGGGAAGATGGAACCATCAGGGAAGACCAGGAGCCCCCAGCAATGGAAGAGGCACCAATACTGAAAGCCGAGGCCCCCGCAGTAGACAGAAGGGAGGCCAGAGGGACCTGTGATCTGCTGAAGGCATCTGGTCCATGGAGTGGCAGGGCTGGAAGGGGAAGGAGAAGCCAGGGTCCTGACTCTGTCGCTGGGGCAGCCCGTGCACCATAACAGCTGCCTGCCGCCAAAGCGTCCATCCTGGGGCTCCACCTCCAAGTGTGGCCACTGGGATGCAGCACATGGAAGTTTCTAGAACAAGGCTTGCAACTTGGCAAGTTCATGTGAGGCTTGTTTCTGGGGGCAGCTGAGCAGAGGGGTCAGAGCAAGGCTTTGGGCCCCAAGAGACCACTGAGTGTGTGACTTTGGGCAATGGCGTATGTCCTCCTGAGCCTCAGTTTCCTCATCTGTAAAGGGGGATAATAACTTCCTCCTAGGGATTCTGGGAAAACTGAGTCTCAGGCACAGCAAATGCTAACATTGGTCATTAGATGGGATGAACCTGACACTAGGGGACGTCTGTGCCCTGGGGGCTTGTATTTACACACACACACACACACACACACACACACATGCCCTCAGCCAGATGCTGGGGCAGGGGACAGTTCCTCATTTCGGACACTGACTGCCGGTGGGGGATGTGGGCAGGGGTATTGCTGTGGTCAGTCTGGCTCAGCACCCAAAAGAAAGTGTCAAGTCAGGGAAAATTCTGGGAAAGGGGATGTGGGATTAGGGGAGGGCACGAGAAGGGGAGGGGGCCCAGCCCTGCTTTGGGCAATCCTTGCTCTGACCACTCTGACACCGTGTCCTCTTGTCTGGGAGAGGGGAAGCACATCTGAGGACATCTCTGTGACCAGGCCAGAAACCGCCCACCCACAGGTGAGGCCCGGACCCCTGCCCAGGTATGGGCAGATGGCCGTTTCCCCCACCTTCTGCCACCTTCCTGAAACGTGGTGCCAGGGGCAACTTGGTGTGTGAGGGGAAGGAAGCCTGGGCCCTGGGGCCTGGGCTGAAGAAGAGGCCCCACCATCCATCCATGGTGAGGCTCCTGGGGGAGGCAGGAAAGCGAGCTCCTGAGGGTTGAGGAGGACGGGTCCTGGGGAATGAGAAGGTTGGGGGCAGGTGAGGGGCTGGCGGGGACAGCTCAGCTCTCTCCCTCCCAGTTCCTTCTCCGGGATGGACGTGGGGCCCAGCTCCCTGCCCCACCTTGGGCTGAAGCTGCTGCTGCTCCTGCTGCTGCTGCCCCTCAGGGGCCAAGCCAACACAGGCTGCTACGGGATCCCAGGGATGCCCGGCCTGCCCGGGGCACCAGGGAAGGATGGGCACGATGGACTTCCAGGGCCTAAGGGGGAGCCAGGTGAGTCTGCTGGCCTGGTTTAGGGGTTTGGGTCTGGGGCAGGGATCAGAGTGTCTGTCTGGGGCTGACCAGGGGGCGGGGGACAGCAGGAAGTGGATTCCCTTGCTGCTACGTCTGCCCCAGGGCAGAGTCGGACTCTCACGGTGGGTCTGGCTCCTCTATCTCAGAGCCCAGGCTTCAGGCCTCCCCAGAGGTGACCTTGGGCCCGGTGCACCTCCGTGCTCCTCCTCTTCCTCACCCAATTATAGGGAGGGAATGAGTGCCTGCCCCAAAGGTGGCCAGGAGGCTCACAGGACACAGTGCAGGGAAAGTCTTCTTGCCCTGCAACATGGGCACCTGGGGAAGCTGGGGCCCACACAGTGAACATATCCAATGCCAGGGTTCAAATCCCAGCCCCACTGATTCCGTCTATCTGAACCCGCACAAGTTACTTAACCTCGCAGTGCCTCAGTTTCCTCTTCTGTAAAACGAGGAGATGGTAGCACCTGCCTCATAGGGTTGCTGTGAGGATTAAGTTAACTTAAATCTAAAACAGCCCTGAGCACCTGGGAAGTCTATACAGGTGTAGGCTATTGAATCATTGGTTTTATCAGAGATCTGTGCTCACCTCCCTCCTTAGGATTCCGGAGGGGTGGGGAGCGAGAGGTTGGAATTGCAGCCAGAGAAACCTCTGTTGGAGGTCCACAGTCAATCCTTGGCATAAGAGAAGGGGGCTGAGGCTATGAATGGGTGACTGGGGCTGGGGCTGGAGCCCTGGGGAGTGTGAGTGCCTTGTCTGTGAGTGAGCTGGGCACATATGGGACACTGGGCATGCCTGGAGCCGGCCTTGGGTGACACCGAGCAGAGGTGATGGGGTGACAGACGCGGTGGAAGGGAGGGAGGCCAGCTGAGAGGAATGTCCTTAGGAGTGGTCCCACCATCATCTCCCCTCCTGGACAGATGGAATGACACCAACTTTCCAGAAGGAATTCTCCAATTTAGGGTGAGCTTAGGGTGAGCTCAGTGAGGTCTCCAGGTCTGCCATTTTCCAGGAGCTTGTACTTCACAGCTGCCTCTGACCATCTCCCTGCCCAGGGTAGCTGATGGCCATCAGCGGTTGAGCCCCCAAGTCCCAGGTGTGGTCTCAGTTTTAGGAATGATAAAACCGAGGCCACAATCCCTTGAAGAAGTGATTGACCCTCGTTTTGCAAATGTCAAAGCTGGGGTTCAGAGAGATTGAGCAATTTGTCCAAAGTCACACAGTGGGATCCTGTCCAGCTCCCAAGTCCACATTCTCCACCACTGCCCTCGGCTGCCTCTCAAGCCCCCTCTCTATTGCTGTTTCCTGGCCCCCTCTCAGTTGGTGGTTTGAAGACATCACGAAGGATGAGACGCTGCTCTGCTCAGCATCCCTGGAGCCATCACGAGGACCAGACACTCCAGAGCACGCCTCCTACGGTGTGCCTGGCACTGTGCCTTCTCTCACTCCACCCTTTCAGGGACTCCCTCTCCTATTAGGCCCGTATCTTAACTGAGCAAACACAGGCTCAGGGAGGGAGGTCACCCTCCCAGGGTCACAGGTGGGAAGGCCAGGTCGGCTGGGTCCTGACCCCACACTCCTAATGCTGAGGCCTAACAAGTTCGTAAGTCATGGAGGATCTGTCATAAATGGGTCTGCACAGACACCCAGCCCGATGGAAGTCAGAGGAGGGAAGGAAACATGAGGGCTGATGGGGATGGTCAAGGAGGGCTTCCTGGAAGAGGAAACTGGCGTCAGACCTTTAAAGATGGGTATGATTTAGATAAGGGGAGAAGAATCTCACAGAGGCTCAGATCATCAGGGCTGGAACAGAGTAAGACCCTGGGATTCTCTAGACTTGAGTTAGAGACCTGACTGCACCTCAAACTGGCTGCATGGCCTTGGGCAAGTCTCTGACTCGGCTTCCTCATCGGTAACATGAGGGAAGTCGAACCAGGCCAGCTGTTATGGGGGCTGACGTGGGCTGAGTGGGGCTGGGGTGAGCTGGAGAGAGCAGGCCCTGTAGTGGGGCGGCTTCGATTTGGCTCCATCCAGTGGTTCCCATGTGCTAACCTGGGGAGTCCATCTCAGGAGTGGATATAGGTTTTGTGGGACTCTGAAGCTTATAAAATGTTGAGGGTCCTCTTTGTGAAAAATAATACAAACTGACAGATACGCTTGATTGCAGAGGTGAGAGTGGTCACAAAAATTTACACGTGACAAAATTATATTGGAACCACACACACACACACACACAAAGTGTATATAAAACTGGTGAGGTCTAGATAAGCTCTGTCAGCTTCCTGGTTTTGACATTATACTTCAGTTATGCAAGTTGTGGCATTGGGGAAAACTGGGTGAAGAGTCCCTGTTCTTTTGGTTTTTTTTTTTTTTTTCAACTTTCTTTGTCTCTATAATTATTTCAAAATAAAGAAGTTGAAAAAAATTAGAAATACAAAATCAGGCAAAAGGCCTTGAAGGGGCTGATGCAAGTGGACAGAACCTGAAACTTAAGCTGCCTCTGACCAACCTTCTGATTTTTTGTCAAGGAGCTCTGAGAATTTCAATTTCAAATGAGTTCTGAATTTGTTCATGTTGGGCTCCAATTAAAAATTTTAAAAAACATTGTGCAGGCCAAACAAGATAGCTGTGGCCACATGCCATCTGTCCGTGGGCTGACACTCATGGCAACTGAGATCCCACCCAGCTCTGAGCTCCCTACTTGCTCCATCACAAATGTGGAAACTGAGGCCAAGAGACAGGGAAGTGCCTTAGACAAGGTCAGAGGGCGGGTTGGTGGAGAAGCAGGACTTGAACCAGACTCTCTCTCTCCCTCCAGCCAAAGCCTGACTCCCTGCACCCGGCTCCTAGGGAGACAGCCCATCTATGGGAATGAGATTCTAGAGACCAAACGCCAGCGCTGTGTTCCCTGGAAGACACCCTCAGGGTCCCTCCTCCCTGTCCCCCACCCTACCCTTTCTCTCTGCCTTCTCCATCTCCAGGAATCCCAGCCATTCCCGGGACCCGAGGACCCAAAGGGCAGAAGGGAGAACCCGGCACACCTGGCCATCCTGGGAAAAATGGCCCCATGGGACCCCCTGGGATGCCAGGGGTGCCCGGCCCCATGGGCATCCCTGGAGAGCCAGGCGAGGAGGGCAGATACAAGCAGAAGTACCAGTCAGTGTTCACAGTCACTCGGCAGACCCACCAGCCCCCTGCACCCAACAGCCTGATCAGATTCAATGCGGTCCTCACCAACCCGCAGGGAGATTATGACACGAGCACTGGCAAGTTCACCTGCAAAGTCCCCGGCCTCTACTACTTTGTCTACCACGCGTCGCATACAGCCAACCTGTGCGTGCTGCTGTACCGCGGCAGTGTCAAGGTGGTTACTTTCTGTGGCCACACGTCCCAAGCCAATCAGGTTAACTCGGGCGGTGTGCTGCTGAGGTTGCAGGTGGGCGAGGAGGTGTGGCTGGGTGTCAATGACTACAACGACATGGTGGGCATCCAGGGCTCCGACAGCGTCTTCTCCGGCTTCCTGCTCTTCCCCGACTAGGGCAGGCAGATGGGCTCAAGCCATCCACCTCCCTCAGCTTCCTGCATGGACCCACCTTACCGGCCAGTCTGCATCCTTGCCTAGACCATTCTCTCCGCCGGATGGACTCCTCCTCCAGGGAGCCCACCCTGGCCCACCCACCCCCAACCCACTCCACCCCACCACATGGGTTCTCCCCTTCCTCTGAACTTCTTTAGGAGTCACTGCTTGTGTGGTTCCTGTGACACGTAACCAATACCTTCTGGTACTGCCATTCTTTTTTTTTTTTTTCAAGTATTGGAAGGGGTGGGGAGATATATAAATAAATCATGAAATCAATACATATGCCTGGCTCAGATTCCTCATTGCTGATTCCTTGAATTTCGGATCTTCGACTTTGCATCAGCCATAGTAGTCCATGGGCTCTGGGCTCAAGGTATCTGGTTGGTGCTCAGGAAAGCTTGGCTGCCAGTGTTGGGACTCAGCACCATTTGGCCTGGTGGGAGAGAGATGTTCTAAGTGTGGTTACATGCTGCCAGAGGTCCCCAAGGGGTCATCCACTCTCACTTTTTTTTTGGTGGGAGAGGCACTGCCATTATTAAAGGTATCCAAGCTCACAGGTAAATGGGAATCAGTTTGACTTCCCGGGCCTGTGCTGAACTTCAGGAGCATTTACCATGGGAGGGAACTGGGCTTGGGTAAGCCCAGTACAGACAAAGACAAGATGTGCAATGAATTTGTGCTGAATGAATAAGAAATTGGTGTGAATGAATGAATGCATAAGTGGGTAAGTGAATAACTAAAAGCAGAGTAAATGAATGAATGAATAAAATCATAATAACTAACATTTACGGAGCACTTAGTATATGCCAGTCATTACTCTAAGCACTTTACACATATTAACTCATTTAATATTCATAATCATGCTCTGAGATGGGCCTGAGGGGGAGAGAGAGAGAGAGAATTGGCCCCCCAGATGTCTGACTTGCCCCAAATAACTCAGACTCTGGGACTCCCGGGAGATCTCAAGCCACTGCTGCCCACCAGCCATCAAGTTTGGACTGTGAGGTTGTTGGTGGTTGGACCCAACCACCATAGTCCTCCTTGGAGGATGATGGAAGCCCACAATTTGATGTTTCAGGTACAAAAAGATCAAAAGTCTAACTTTCCTATGCAGACTTCTGGTCCAATTCTCAGCACCCAGTCAGACTCGAGGCTCACTCTAGCCTGGGAGAACCTGCCTGTCCTGGCTGTGATCACAGCTTGGTTCCACAAAGCCCCACGGAGTCATGGAAGCACCAGCCAACTGAGGCATGGGCTGTGAAGAGCAGTGGCTCAAGCTGAGTTCTACAACCACCTCCATTCACTTTGGTTCCTCTGTTTGGGAAATGGTCTGTGTCACAACTCCCTGCCTTTGCCCATGAAGTCCCTCCCACTCCTGCAAATCATCCATCCACCTGGATAATATTCACTCAACTGTCAGGAGTCAACACAAACATCACCTCCTCCACGAAGCCTTCTCCGATTTACCCCTTGGGTCCCCACAGTGACCTCCACAAATTTGGGCACAAATTCGTGACTCCTTAGAGCCCAGGTTCCCAAATCAGGTGGTGAATAAAATTAACCTAAAGACTTACTTAAAACAAAATAAAACAAGCAAAACAAGATTTCTCAACTCCGGGCTGTGTTATAAAGGTCTGGGGAAGACCAGGCTGTAAATGAGTTGGTGGTTTGCAGGGGAATCTGATGCACACAGCCAACCAACTAGCTTTTGTGCACTTAGTCACTTACAGGTCTGCCTCCCCTCTAGACTGTAAGAATCATGTGGGAGGGCCCCTTCCATACACACCTGGCACATGACAGGAGCATGAAAAGTGTGTAAGATGGGAAGGAGGGAGAGAAAGACACACACACACATGCACACACACATATATACATATATACACATGCATATAAAGACACATGTACAGACATACACACATATGCATACACACATACCATACAAACACATACATACATACACATATATGCATACAAACACATACACACAAACACATATATACACATACAAATTACACACATATGCAGACATACACACATATGTATATACATACACACATATATAGGCACATGCACAGACATACACACATATATGCATACACATACACATATACACATATATACACAGACACATGCACAGGCATCCACACATATACACATATAAATACACCTATATACACAGATATACACATACATACATGTATACACATACACACACATACACATATATACACATACACACACATATACATGCATACAGTATTCACGCAACACATAGATATATGCATACACACAGAAACACACATACACATATCTGCATATACATGCACATACATACACACATGCATATACATGCACACACATTGACACACACACATAGACATCCACACATAGACATCCACACATCCACACACATTCACAGACACACACAGAGACACACATACACACATAGACACTCATGCACATGTACACACAGATATACATGCAGATGTATACACACATACATACACATACACACATATACATGCACACATATACACACACATACATATACAGAAATACACAGAGTGAGAGCAGCAGGCAGGGACGGAGGAACCCGGGCGGTTCACTGAGTCCAGTGCCCCTGGCGGGGATGGCGTGAAGGCCACGGCCACGGCATCCACTCTTCTCCTCCACCAACCTCTGAGCCATCCGCCGGGCAAAGCCGTAAGTGATACATCTTTCTTCTCATTTCTCTTTTGTTTAAAAAATCAATACACCATTTATGTAGGTCACAGTGTCAGATCAGAAACCCGCACTTTGGAAATGACAATTTTTGTGCCATTTTTATTTTCCATAATTATTTCCTTGTTGTTCTCTCTTCGTCAGGGGAGGCAAGCCTTTGAAAACGCCAGCTTGTCTGCTTTGCCAAGAGGAGGTGGGGGGAGAGTTTTCAGTGGGGCAGGCCAGGAGGGGTGGACATGGGGCAGGAGCCAGGACAAGACACCCCAAGCTGCAAGGAACCCCTTTCCAACCACAGGCAGGTGAGGGGTGTAGGTTTCTTTTTCTACTCTTTGCAGAGATCAGGGATTTTCCACTCTCAATCAGAGAGGCAAGTCCAAAATTTTGTGGGTACAGAGACCAGCTGGCTCCCATTAGTGGGCCCCTCAGTTCCTGATCCCCAAGTCCAGGCCTCCTCTTAATCCAGGCCTGGCTTCTTTGCTCCTGGGTTCCAAGAATTCCATCTTCTCTTCATATAAGTAATACCGTTCCCATGTTTGCAGTGGGTGTCCACCAAGGGCTGGGCACTCAGCTGGCCCTGGACATGGCAGGGTGACCTCGCTGGCCCCCAAAACAGCCCCAGGAGATAGGCGTTCATGCCTCCCATTTCTACACGAGGAAACCGAGGCCCGCAAACATTCCTGAGGCCACATAGTTAGCAAGACACAGAGCTGGGATTCAAACTGCCCAAGTCCGTGTTCCTAACCCACCTCTGCTGCTTCCTGTTCTTAGCCTCACTGCTTCTACTCCAAATTCACATCCATCTTTTCTCATTGCCATTAGCCACCTAAGAATTAGACGCCCAGAGGCCGGGCACAGTGGCTCACGCCTATAATCTCAACAATTTGGGAGGCCGAGGCAGGCAGATCACTTGAGGTCAGGAGTTTGAGACCAGCCCGACCAACATGGTGAAACCCTGTCTCTACTTAAAAAAATACAAAAATTAGCTGCGCGTGGTGGCATGCACCTATAGTCCCAGCTACATGGGAGGCTGAGGCAGGAGAATTGCTTGAACTCGGGAGGCAGGGGCTCCAGTGAGCCAAGATCACACCACTGCACTCCAGTCTGAGCAATAGACTAAGACTCCATCTCAAGGAAAAAAAGAAAAAGAGAGAGAATTAGAGACCCAGGGCCACTCGGCTTTGGGAATGCTCAGAACTCCTCAACTTGCAACCTACTAACTCATTTCTCCCTTTGTGGAGAAGCTGCTTCTTCTCTCACCCTAGCCTGGGTCTTTTTGGGACTATAGCTGACTGAGCTCAGAGACCTTTTGGTTTTGTCAAACTTTTCTTTCCCTCCTGTTCACCCACTGCAGTTAACACTTAATTTCCACCAAGCCACACCCACAAGCCCAGTGAATTTCCGTCTCCAAGTACAGTTGTCAAGAGGGTCCTCCAACTCCTGGTGCTTGCTGGTCATCACAGTGTCTGAGAGGCAGCCACAGGGAGAGACTGATATCCTAGTGCCAGGGATGCGGCTTCCAGGCCTGTATCTGCCACTTCCATGAGGCGTCGGCCCCAGCAGTCACTCTTTCTGTGACATTTATCACAGAAGCAATGAAGCCTCATGTCATTCCATGTTTAATACTGGTCTCCCCCCCGTAGAAGGGAGGCCCCATGGGGACAGGGACGATGGCTGATTTGCTAAGAGCTCTCTCTTCAGTGCCTAGCCCATGGAGGCGAACACTAAATATTCATTAAATGATGGCTCTCCCTTCTGAGCCTCAGTTTCCCCGTATATAAAATGAGGAGGACGAGCCCAGTGACCTCAGCCCCTCTCCGGCCCTAACTTGGCATGATTCCAGGATTGAGAAGAAGCGACAGGCTCCTGCCTGGGCCTATTATTGTCATCAGCTTCAAGCCCTGCTGGAAGCAGAGGGAGGGGTATCAATAAATAATGAACACATTTAAAATTCATTATGAGATTATTTTCTGAGAACAGGGAAAGAGCAGGGATGCAGAATGGGAAGGAAGCAGAAGAGATGAGCCCAGAAAGGGGAAGCCTGGGACATGAAGTGATATTAACAATGAACATGTGCACAGCCCTTTACAGTTTACCCCCGGACAGCTCCTCCCCCATCATTTCCTCCATTATCCTCCCAGCGGCCTGTGAGAACTGTATCTGTAGAGCAGGTATGATTATGGTCCCATCCTATAGCAGAGAAAATCGGGGCTCCCTTGGGGCTCCCTTGACTGAGAACACATAAGCTGGCAAGTGGCAGAGCCGAGATGGGAATCAAAGTCTCTGATTCTAAGCCAGCGCTCAGGCACCGGGCCAGCCACATGACGCTCACTGAGGAACACCCCTGCCCAGTGAAGAAGAAGATCACGAGGTCAGAGAGCCTGGGAGGGTGAGCTGCGGACGTTTCCCCGGGACGGCGTGTTCTCCCCACAGATGCTGAGTCGGCAAAGCCAAACTTGCCACCCACCCATCTCATTTACAGTAAATCCGGTGGGTTGCAGAAATGGGACCTGAAACTGCCTGAGGGCAGCAGGGTGGGGGGACAGTGGGGGGATGGGAAAGGG